TATGTACGGTTGTTGTCTCTTTCGTGTAAGTAGCGTAGCACTTAAAATCCTGCCTCCCCTTAGAGTAGCGTCGTAACGTCGGGGCATACAGGCGGAGACCAGCGCCCCACAATGGGATATTAATGGCTTCACAAATAGCGTAACAAAACGCTATAAGAAACGTTTATAGGAAGACCCCAGCCTTATCCGGATAACATTGCACGGGCTAATTCGCGGAGCATAAGCGGTTTGTGTGATTGCTGGATTCCATGAGTGATTCAGAACTAATCACAATCGTAATCTGTACTCCGTTTCCGTCGTTCGCATTCGTGGATTAGATGTACACTGTACGACCTCACTGATTTCAAATAAGAATAAGGTTAAATCAACTTTGTCATTTTGCAATAAATCCACTTTATCACAAAAGGAATCACAATTTCAATCAGTACTAGATAGTATGTTATCGAGCTCAATGATTTTAGTATAAAAACTTTAAAAAAAACTTTAACGGTTTAAAACGCGATATATTAGTTAGACTTATTTGGAGATTATTTTTAACTTATTTAAATGTGTACTACTCGTGTAAACTATAGACAGTATATAAAAAAACTTTTATAAAGCTTTATTATAAACATTTATAAGTAACTGTTGAACCTGTAAAATTAATGTGTAATGTAAACCTATGGAGGAAGGTTTTCCTTCTTTACCACGCTTTTAAATAACACTTTAACGGTTTAAAACGCGATATATTAGTTAAACTTATTTGAAAATGATTTTTAACTTCGGCCCGACGTTTCGGATGCTTTGCAGCAGCCGTGGTCAGGGGGAGACTGGGGTGTCATTTATATATTCTACACTGTTAGACTTTTTTATAATTTTCAATGTAAAATTTACACTAGACGTAATAAGCAAATAATTATAAGGATAGAGTAAATATCAAAAAAACACTGTATTTGTGAAATTTTGTTGATTAATAGACCAAAACTAAGCAAACTTAAGGTAGGTATGACGTTTTTTATTTATTTCATGCTTAATATCACTTATAAAAAGCTTTTTCTCTTATAATATCCAGCATATGACATAACAGCGCAAAACGTGTGGGTGTAATGCCGATAGCACATTGACATAGTGGCGCGTGCGTCGCCCTGTCTCTTATCATTTAACTTAACTATAATTTTAAAATTAGCCACAGTTATAAATTATTAGCGACAAATTTTGATAAACACATGTTTACGCAAGCAACGAAACCAAACATGGTGGCATACATTTCAATAAAACACTTCAACGTTTTAAAATGCTAAATACAAGGGGACAGCCGTAGTTACAATAAATTTCAAATAAGTTTAACTAATATATATCGCGTTTAAAACCGTTAAAGTGTTTAAACGCTATTAGTTTAGATTGTAATAATGCTATTACACGAGCGAGCCTCAAACTTTTTGTTCTGTTGCTCTAGTAATGTGGTATTATATCCAGAACTGTTTATTTATATTCAACCTGGACAAACAGCTGATGAATAGATATGTTTTAAAGTTTTTTACGTTTAATAAATACAGGTCTCCAATTAAAGAATTTATTCTTAAACCTGATGCAACTGTTTTGGAATTTGATTAGGGGCAATTAATTTTCTCCGTAATATTATCGGCACATTTAAATTTGACATCGCAATTTGGAGTTCAAGGACCTCTTAATTACCTAAAAACTAGATAAGCCAATAAAATACACGTTTTCCAATACATTACTTATCTATATGATATCCTTTCTAATATTTGTTTATTTACTGAGTCGAACTTACGATCCCTAGATACTAAGACATGTATTTAACTTATCAGTAACCCCTGTGGCTCAGTGGTAAAATGAATTGCCTTGCATTGTAAGCGCAAGACGGCCTGTTCGAAACCGGGCAGTGTATAATTTTATCTATTACCTACTTGTCTGTGAATAATAATCGATCTGTGTAATAGATACAGAAATGACCCATAGTCCACGTAGAATATTTTTAACCTGTGTTTGTAATTAAATAAAAAAAGAGAAATTAGCATTCTAACGATTGTTGAATAAATGTTGGGCTAAATATAAATATGTAATAATTAAATACTGGCAAATTTAGATTGACAAGCAGAAATCTCTGCTTAACCCTGAGTCTGCCCCATATCCGTTTGATAAAAGCATCCGTGCCACAAAATCTAATGTTCACTAATCTGTTTTGTGTATGTATGTACCTAATACGTTATATTAATAGTACATTATATTATTTGTACTTTTACGATAACCCGGTTTATACAATATAGATCTGTAAAGAGTATTACAGCCCTCAATTTATGTAAAAATCATAATAAAGAGATTAAATTCAATCTTTGTACGATATAACTTTACACCCAAATCACATATGTAAATAGTCTTTGTAGTTTACGCTAATAGAATACCTACACATTAAAATAAAACGGTTTAAAGCACGATATATATTACTTACCCGACGTTTAGTAGTCACAGGGACTACGGCTGCTGAAAAGCATACGAAACGTCGGGCTGTAGTTACATCGATGAAGTGTTTTATTTAAATTAAATCACATAGACAAAGTTTGGGAGCCATACATAGCTACCATTACACCAACACACCTGTCAAAAATTTCTTATTCTAAATTTGAATAGAACAATGTACTTGCCTTATATTTCGAGGTAAAAGAAGATAGCCACAAAAATTCGGAACGTTTTCCGTTTAATTCCGTCCGTGTGGGAGGAGGGAGGTGCGGAATGTTAATGAGAACAACGTCACTGCCGAATGATTACGATTTGAAATATTAATGTCTCGTTCGCGACGGCCGCATGTTTGAATTTTTTGCGCCAGCGCATGCGGTATGTAGGAGCGAGATCTGTGCTATCGGTCGCCGTTAATCTAGACTTATCATTTAGCTCGCTTAATTAGTCCGAGATTCTCACGAGTTGTCTCAGCCGTGATTCGGCTTAACTTTTTTTATATGTTAAGTATTTTAATAAGCTCCAGAGAGCGCCCCCCCCCCCCTCTCGCAAGATACAAGGAGGCTGCAAGCTGTCACATCAGCACGGGATTTATGTCCGATGCGAAGATTTCGGCAAAAAGCGAGAACCGGCTTCAAAACGTTGGCTCATTGAATTCTTAAAGCTACATGTCGTCTTAATAATATTATTTATGGATGACGGACGGACAATAGCAAATGTTCAACTGCAACTATCAAAATCATCGGATACTGGTAGATGTTGAGTTTTGTACACAAATTCTTGATTTACGATGACAGAACAGGCAGGGCTGGTAGATACGAATCGCGGATTGTCACACTACAACCTTTCATATCATGTTTTGGTTTCATATCGATTATAGTGGTTCTCACTTAGGCCGTTTTAAGTTTGCCAAAATTAAATAATTATATTATTAAATTAGAATATTATTGACTTATCAATCGTACTTGCGCAAACGCATTGTCACATTCTAAAAATTGATTAACTATTTTATACTCTACTTTAAGTTCAAGGGATTGTTATTACCTGTTTATTTTGTGAAATCTATTGTGTTAAATATAGTAGGTACCTCCTGAATTTTCTTCTGAAGACGAAATAAGTTTTTTTTATTAATTCTAAACATTACTTGTTATTTTCAATGTTGCAACAAACAAAGGATTGCCAACGTTTAAATCTTTAATTTATGCATTTAATCTGTTAATAAGTTTAAATTAAATGCGATTAAGATAATATTTTTATTTACTAACTAGTTCATAAATCTAGTTTTGAGTGAGGTAGTGAAGCGGAAAATAGTGTGATGTTCATAAAAAGAAAACTAGTAATCGGAACAGTGGTTTAGCTTCTAAAGTGTGTATAAACGTATTCCATTAGGGTTGGCACATTTTAGAATATATTGCAATTAAAAATGTAAAATAAAAACACCTCTATGTTTTTTCTTTCTTATCAGCTAACACTTTTTAAATAAAATTTAATGAACAGACCCGATTTTATAGGTATAGACGTTATGATGATAAACAATAAATGTATTTTGTTTTCTTTAATTGTTAAACTGATAATTTTAAAATCCATCAAAAAAGATTTTTTTTCTTTGCTACGTAACCAAAATATGACTAGAACCCCTGGATCCATACAGTGTGGTGTCATGTTACTTGTCCATTGACTACCTGCGAACAAGCGCCTGCGCACCAGTGCGTGTCAAATATGACATCATTGTCAGCCTTAACTGTGCGTAAATCTAGTCTCTAATACCTGAACGTTGTGTTGATTATCAAGATACTATTACATGACTACAGTATGCGATTATCACATCTGCTCGATACATGTCTAATCAAGTCTCGGTCAGTGCGCCAGTCGCCAGTTGCTATGCGCAGGATCATTATAATAACTTAATTTCTCGAGCAAAAAACGATTTACCTGGAATTTATGCAAATAGAACGTATAAACAGCTACAAAAAAGGTGCTAAAAACACGAGAATACATTACAAACAAAAAAGCCTGTTATGAATATTCGTGAGAGCGCGGTGGGTTGCGCCCGCGCACCTGTGTTCAATGTGCCGGCTAATTGCGTTGAGGCGCTCCGATGCATAGGCTTTTTTCACGCAAATTAATTATCGCGGTGATTATCCGCAGTTAGTCCCGTGCCAGTGACGTCACAATGGCAGGTGAATTAAACCCATTCAGATTTGTACCACGCTTCTGATCCTTTATTATACCACTTTTCCGCGACTTCGTCCGCGTGGAATACCCTTAGTAAAACAACCTCCTTAGCTTTATAAATTATAGCTGTTTCCCACTCCTTACAAATAGACATAGTTTTCCCCGTTCATTCCACATTTCCCTCCATTTCTTCGCTCCTATTAGCCGCAGCGTAAAGGCAGCGTAAAATAAAAAAATAATAATTAAATATTGACCGGGTTTTGGAACAGAGCCTAGTGCCACGCGTTTTACCATTGAGCTCAGAAGATAGTTCATTCGATTCAATATTTAAATAGGTATAATGAATTTGTATTACGTAAGGTTACAATATGATGTCACAAGTTGTCGGGTGGCCGCGTAGCAGACAGGTGGGTCTGGACGCGTCTAGCCGTTTCGAACGGATGTCAACTCGTTCGCATGGTAATACCACAGATAAGATGCTATCGGCCACCGGTTGACTGCGATAGCATCTGTTAGAGGTACCATAGCTCTATCCGTGGTCACAGACTATACGAAATACGACTATCGTTATGTAAAAATAAATTCGAATTCGAGCTCTAATTACTATCGATTTAAAAAAAAATCGAGTCATTCGATAATGTTCTATCGTTATCTAGGTCTATTGTCTGGACTTTATGCGTGTAGTACACATTATAGTAAAACTTGCGCAAAGTGCAAACGGTGTTAAATAAAAGCCGCAGCCAAAACCTCAGAACAACAAATTGAAATAAGGTCAATATTTCACGTTATAATCGGTTAAAATGGTTTTATTTAAATCGTAATTTATTTATGCATTATCGATAAATTTGAATCATGGATGTCGTGATCAAGAGTACACGTACAAGGAGATTCTTTTGACTCTTCTTTTTTCTTCAATAAGTTGCATGCAAAATGCATCTACTTAAACGCATTATTTAAATCTATCGCATAATCGATATGGTATAATTATATAGTGGTTAGTCCATTCAACGCCGATTCTAAAGTCCCTGCTTCGAATCCCAGAACAGGCGAAAGGTTATTTCGGTTTTCAATATATGCCTGGAGTTGTTCTTGTTCCTTAGATGTTTCTTTTATTGCGTTGTAGATTATATTTCCGTCAAGTTTAATAAGTGAATCTTTATGTTTATTTGTTTAAGGTTTTAAGTATTATATAGTTCTGTATGTGACTGTTTGTTTGTTCGTTTTCAAATAAACAAAAATGTAAGACTGAATTCGTTGTTGATTTAACAATAATTTACCCACGTTGAATCTCACAAAACATGCCCGCAGACCGGTTATATCGCGTGTTTAAAAATGTACATTTATCCTGCAATACAATATATTGCGTCATATTGAAATCGATACGGGAAAAGGAGTTTCATGAGTGGGCGATTTGTCTCATAATGAATTCGTTATCTGTGTCGCTAAGATCTACTGGATCGCTTTGTAAGCCCTCTTGCCTAAAGCTATAGTCTCCTATAAATGAGGCTTTACGCATTACGATATAAATTGCTTACTGTGTGTAATTAACATGAGTAGTCACATTTAAATAATATACTTATAACGGTTTAAAACGCGAATAGTATTAGTTGAACAATTTCTTGTAGATGGCCCGATGCTCGGATGTTTGGCTGCCGTGATGATGGCTGTTATGCAACCGAAACGCGTTTGAAGCCGTTAAAATAGTTTTTGATGAATTTGAACCATGGGTGTCGTTATTAAATGTACATGTAAAAGTAAAACGTTTTACTTTTGAAAACTTTATTATTTTTTTACATGTTATTGCACATGAAGGCACTATATAATTTAAAAATCGAAAACAAATTCAAAAAAAAGGTGCATGTATCAATAAGTTGAAAAAATTCGACGATGCGGTGTAGAACTCGGTGGCTCATTTGGTAGAGCACGGAACGCTGACGATGCCGGTTCAAGTCCTGCCCGAGTCTAAATTTTTTCAATTTATTTTCGTTTTATATTTGTTCTTCAATTGCTTGCATCCAACGTGTTTCTATCCAAAAATATTAAAATTGTTTTATTTAATACGCTTCCTGTAAGATTTTGGTAACTATAGTTCAGTTCAAAACAGCTAGAGAGAGCCAGCCAGCATTAAGAGTTGTATGACGATCTACTTGCTAACATAATGTGTGAAAGAGACAACTTGGTGTTATTTCCTAGTAGGTTATAGTAGGTTAAGAAGAGACTCCTTCAAGTAAAAAAATAGACAACACCACTACATTGACATCTGACATTTTGACGGGTTTGTTGGTGTAATGCTAGCAATGTACGGCGAATAATCAACGGGTCGTGGGTCCGACCCTCACCAGGTCCAACATTTTTATAATTTCTCAATTTATAATTTTTCTGAAACATGTTGGACGTCGTCTAGAAGTCTGGATATTAAATGTCTGGTAGAATAAACGAAATTCCCTCCGGATTACGAAGCACCGATGAAAAAGCCGTGAAGTTTAATCAGGTTTCGGTTTCAATCTAATGAATATCGAATATCCAAAGCCAAAATGGGTCGACAGCACATCTTGTTTAGATGCTGGGCCGAGGTATTTTAACAACCATCGAGTGAGCCCCTTGCTTATCTGTCGCCCTCCATCATTAAAAAGAAATCTTGAGGAGTTCTATGGGACATTTCGTTTATAGGAGACCACTACCTAAGTAGTTCGTATTTGTTACGAGCTGTCAACAACGGCCAGTTCTATCTGCCAGATTGCTAGATGACTGCTTATCTAATGGGACAATCAGTTTCAAATCCATTATCCAATGCAAATAACGTAATTACAATATCGTTGCGAACTTGCTTTGTGCTTAGAAATATAAAAAAGTTTAAATGAAACACATTAATGGTTTGAAACTTGAAATATATTAGTTTAAAATTATTTTAAAGCTCGACGTTTCGGATGTTTTGTAGCAGCCGTAGTCACGGGGAGACTGACTTATTCAAATGTGTACTACTCGCGTCAACTACAGACAGTATTTAACTTTTCAATAGTTCAAAATAAAAAAAGTAACTAATATATTTCTCAGTTTAAAACCGATAAAAATGTTCGATTGTTATATGTATCAGATATATTTTTCTTTGTGTGGGGCATACATATGGTATATAATGAAATGAAATTTCTGTAGAAGTGTCGTTAATTAATTTTATGTACAGGCAAGTAGGCGACTTACACCTTTTCACATTTTTTTCCCGAGATCCAAACCCCAAAACATAATATTTGATGCAGTACAGGATTTCTACAAATTAGCTGTCTTTATACATAATCGTGGTATATAATATATCAAGAACCCTCAAACAATAATTCATAAAAAAGATAATTTCTATTCTATTCAACTACTGTAGTAGCTACAGATACAAAAAAAAACAATTCAGTCCTCAATTAACCGGTGAAAAATATGTGCAGCAAACACAAAAGTTGTTATTACGTAATACGAAAGTCATCGGATCTAAATAGCTTCTCATTGTGTGCGCTAATTGAATTGATGATAGTCCCAACCCGTTGCAGTCCCCCCCCTCCCTCCAGGGGAGTGAACAAAGCGAGTTTTTGTGGCCGATACGATTTAGTCGTTCGGTTGAATCTTAATAAATTCGATTATACGGCGCGATAGCTAAATATTTTCCCATTATTAGTCGTTACAATTGAAGCGAACTGAATGATTTGGATTTTATTATAATTAAGGGGAATTCTTTGAGATTCTATTGAAATAATTCATATATATATTAAAAGATAAAACGTGTCCGTATGTGAATGTCTGTATGTCATACGACGAACACATTACTTTCTTATGATAGAGAGAAGCACAGCGTTCACTTATTTAGACTTTAGTTATATAGAAATTTTCAGACTGAAACTGAAACGCGATTAAAACTTCACGGTGATTATATCTATGGACGGAATTTCGATATTCCTACCACCTTTTTATTATCCAGATTTTCAGACGAAGTCCATCATGTTTCAGAAAAAATATCAATTGATTAGAACATAAGGACCCTGTAAGTATCGAATTCACGTTGATTATTAGCTGTAAATTGCTGCCATTAGACCAACTAAACTATGTCTGTTTTATATGATGTGATTCAAGAAAAAGATGAGTGTTGATAAGTCGATAAATGATAACCGGATGAAGTGAAGATGTAACGCGTTATCTAACGAAGCAGTTAACTCCAATAAGAAGTTTTGAAAATTATTTATTACGTTAAATATTACAATTAAAATGTTCGTACTTACACTGTTATTGTAGCCATCTTTGCCTAGAAATACCTTCTTGATGTTACGACACTGTTTCGCCAAACGCTAAAGCGAGTCAATTTACCTTAATGATAAATATTTAGGTCACTTTCACCATAATCTATAGCTTTTTAAACAAGTACTTATTCACTAGGTCCGCTTTGTGTCGATTTATTACCAGTAGTAAAATCCATATTTACGTTCAATCTGTCGCGTACAGACACATAATTGTGACCGTTTCGTTGTCGATCAGTTAACAGAATAGTATATTCCTTGCATATCCAAAAGCACTTACGATACGATATTAGTTTTTACTTTTAACCCTTTAATACTATGTTAAATTGTGTTTGTACCAAAGAATTATCCTGAAATATTCATAATTGGAACAATGATTTCTATTATATTAAATTGAAGAATCTATTGGTAGTGGGTTGGTAACCCGGCTGTGTATTTCTTTTTTTGACTTTCTTCTTCTCTTTCTTTTATCGGTGTACATATCAGTTATGTGTTTATAAGGAAATATAATAAAGTCGTGATTTTGATAAGAATATACACCTTTAATATAGTATATGTTTTAATTATTAATGATGTATGTGATTGTTACACAATGGTAAGCTTCTTAAAGTCGACTATCAGAATCAGATTTTAATAAAAAATACTACATTATTAAGTGGACTGTTCTCACAGAAAGGTGCGGATTGTGAGTCAAGTCACGGTTCCTCTGACTTATTAAATTATATCCAAAAAACGTTTCCTCCGCGTGTCCATTGTGTTTGCCGCCTGCTCTACTCGCTCGTGAGCACGCAGTTAGCTGCGCGGGCGCATCCTCTCATTATACACCCTTTAGGACTATTTATTAATTTTATATACGTGACTGTATCGAGTTTTTTGTGTGGAAAAAGTGTGCGGTCACTTAATATGAGATCAAATCCTTCGTGTGGTATTCGAATAGACTGGCTCAAACACGCTCGGAAACAGTGAACTAAAAAGTTGTTGAGTTGTAAGAATGGATTTGAGTACATAATTATTAGAATTATTTCAGATGGAAAATATGGTTCACTTAACAAAACCTATATGACTATTAAAATGAGAATATTTTCGAATTAATTCCATAATATTATGTATTCTTCTACTTCGGTTATTGTTGACTCGATGTAATGACATTTTTAATCTGTCAAATATTTAATAGTAGCATAAGGTAGCATAAGCATATGAAAAACAAAGGTAACGAGGCAGTCGGTGAAAACTCTTTAACGGTTTAAAACGCGATATATTAGTTAAACTTATTTGGAAATGATTTTTAACTTCGGCCCGACGTTTCGGATGCTTTGCAGCAGCCGTGGTCACGGTGTACTACTTGTGTATTACTACTCTTTACTATAGATAAAATACTTAAGGATATTTATCCCTTTTTTATGACAGATGAACACGAACAAAATACCCCATAGACAATTTAAACAAGATGCGATCTCGACCTACTTTGTCTTACTTTGAGTATTATTCAGAACTCTAGATTTCATACAGAGGAGGTGTTAAGAGCAGAGTGGAGTGTCAGGGTGAAGAACAGCCGCGGTGGGTGGTGGATGGCAGAGGGTCGTCGGCCTCTGTCGAGCGCAGGTGCCTCGCCCCCGCCCGACGTCCCGCACTCCGCCCGGGGACTGGTTTCATCGGGATGCAAGCGGGAGCAGGGCTACGCACAGTTTACATACAGGCAGTGGTTCAAAATATAAAATTAAGTATTTTTTGATGCGAAAATAATAACCATAATATAATTATAATGTTAAATAGCTATATTGAACTTAGCTAAGGAATAAAAGTGGTATCTCTATTCTTCTCCACTTCAAGGAAAGTGAAAAATATTTAAACATAATACTTTTTACGAGGCGATTCTAAACTCGGAAATGTCTCATGCAATCGTGAAATCCGATTTAGGCTTTTACATATTTCATTGAAAAAGGGGTATTATTTAAAAAGTGGGTACATTTTACAATACTTTTTAAACTTGGTGTGAAAAATGAAAACTTTTTTTTGTCTGCTACTGTTTGCAAATACACTGTGGTCGACCGGCGAGGCTTTTTGTAAACCGGTGCAGTGATTGTTGACTTATTGCAGGAATTGTTTTAATCGCGATCTGTTGTACTTCTTTGCAGCATTCCTAAGCCTGATGGGGGATTGTTGGCTCCCCGGTCTGGGGTTCGATTTTGTGCTTATCATAATATAAATATTATCAGTATCATGCTATCGTGTTTTGTTAATTGCGCAAAACAATTTTTGAAAATGAGTGACTCAAAACAATATAAAAATTTGTTTCCACATATCATAAGCTTTAAACAAGAAGATAAAAACAAGATTTCAGAAGTACTAGAACTAAGTAATAATCACCGTTATTAGTGTCTTTAGAGGACCTACAAATCGCTATTTACCGGCGTGACAGTTATATTTATATAACAATATACGAATATTCATTTTCAATAAGTACCTAAAAAGTCAAAATTACGTGAGCCAGAGTTGCATACATACTTATGAAGAATTTTTATCAAGAAGACTTGACTCGGTAGCTTACTTGGTTAGAGCCACAGCACAGACCGCTGTGGATCAATTCCTGCCTGAATCGTATTTTTTTTAAATTTAGACACAGACGACTCAATACGTGTTATGCTTGACTGTATCTGTGTTATCTTGTTATGTAACACTTTCTATACATTCGAGGACGTTTTACCGAAGGGATGGAGGTGAAAATCGGAAGATATGTATTTATACTAATATTTAAAGCTGACGATTGTTGGTTTGTTTAACGCACTGATCATAGGAACTATTGGTTAGAATGGAAGAAAATATTTTTGTGTTGGTGAAACCATGTATTGGGGAAGGCTTTAGGCTATCTAACATCACGCTGCGAACAATTGATAGGGGGTAAAATATCGTAGCCTAATTAATATAGCATCTAAACAAGACGCGCTGTCGATCTATTTTGGCTTTGGATAGGAAACCGAAACGTGATTGAGCTTCATGCGTTTTTTATTTGTATACAGTGGATAGTGACACGGACAGAATTCCAATATTCCTATCACCCATTCTATATCCAGATTTCCAGACGAAGTCCAACATGTTTTAGAGAAATCATACATTGATAAAAAAAATGTTGGACCCCGTAGGGATCTAACCCACAATCCGATGATTATTAGACGTACATTGCTACCGTTACACCAACGAGCCTTCCGCCAATTATACCTGTCATCACATGATTAAATATTTTAACTTTATTCAAAAATCGAACGCTCACAAGTTTAGCTACTTGCTCAATGTCAAGTATTACTTTTCTCCGGGAAACAATAAATAAAAGGTTAAACGAATGGCGCGGGTCGGAGGCGGCTGAGCGCTACAGTTTGACCGCCGATTCCAATCTGCCCCTTTACTCCCCTCTCCCCCCTCAAACCTGCAAACCGTATACTCATTACTCGCGGAATGTTTTATTATCAAGGGGCAGAGTCCTGCACGCAACACTACTTAAACGCTAAGAGAACGCTAATATACACATATATTTCACACACATAAAAAGTGGAATTCCGTTTGCCCCCGTGGAATGGGGTGAACACAATTCTGTGGCCGTTTAACTGATCGTCTTCATTTACAAGCAAGTAGTTGATAAGGTGCCCAGCTTGACTAAACCAAACTATTGTTTCCCCGGGATTCGAACCCAGGGTTTCTCGCGATTACCGCAATGCTAAGCAACGCGTTTAACCAATTTGCTATTCGCGGTCCACAACCAAATTTCATACCTAAAACCGGCTTAAATAGCACTAAATAATTAGTTTGAAATTATATGATTTTAAGGTATTCTCAGATTTCTTCTTTTTTATGTATAACTGAATGATAGTACCTACCTACAAGGAGTGATCAGCAGTTTGTGTCCTGCTCGACCGAAATATTCTGTTTTCCCGGTATTTAAACTTATCACTTTTATCAATTGATGTCCAAACGTATTTGTTATGTTTATTTTACATGACATTATTGAAATAACTCATTCAAACATTTATTAATTCGTATTATCTATACCTCCCTCTTATGCCCGGTCAGAGATCACGCAACGGTTACTTGGCCAGTTTCAGGGTTGTCAATCTCTGACTAGCGTAGACCGCACACCATAAAGTAAGCACAATACTGAATTACTAACAGAAGACCGATTACACACTCCTGCGCGCCCGCAACTATAATAACAACACGCTTACATTCCACGCTTCAAACATCGATTCTATTTCCTATACTGAGATCTCGCTTATCGAAATAAGTTATTTAGTGTAAGTATGAGCGAAACGTTTACATAAAAATTAGAAAAACATTTTTTTTTTCTATTATATGTATACAACTATGACATATACAAAAATTAATGCAGAAACAATAGTTTTTGCCCAGATATACTTATTTATTTATATTTTATTACACAACACACACACAATTACAATGAAAAATAAAAACCTATTAACCATGGGTGTAACCGGCGGTCTTATCGCTATTGAGCGATTTCTTTCAAGCAACCCTGGAGATGTTCTCTTCTTTCTGTGAATGCTAAGACCATTCGTTTAGATTTTTTGCAACCATATTCGTGACTTAGAGTAAACAATTGAATATAATTACATAAAATACCAATGCAACAATAACAATAATTATTGATTGAGGCTCGATGCTACCAAACGTTAATAAAATTTTACGATTATGTTTAATTCTATATTGTATATACGTACTCTCTACATCTGTGTGCGTAAGTAATTAGTTCGCATTTCTCCCGAAGACCGGCTAATAAATCAAAATAAGTGGATCCGACAAAAATAGTACTGTAAAACATGATTTTTATGACAGCGAGCTGGAACATCAGTACAGCGCATTCAACACTAAGCCATTACACGTGAAGGCGGCGCAAAAAGAGCTGTTCGTATGTCCGTCCGTGTCGCATTGTGCTCATTTTTGCTCGTATCCCCGGACGGGATCCATTCAAACGCTTTTTGTCCTTCAAATAATATTATTTTACGAGTCGAGACAAAAACGAAAGCGTTGCTGAGCTTTCGTATTGGATACCCGTTATGACATTTCTTGAACTCAAGCTTAAACTATCAACTAGCGTAAACGCGCGGTTTATTAAACGACGACTGAATAAAATATTATTTTAAATAAAATACTGACTTAAACAGTACACTAAAATGTTACCACAAAGTGATAGATATTCTGAATTAGTTAAATGAAATTTAATTATTATTTTTAAAGTCTATCGCTGCTTAATCTCAAAAAAACATGAAAATAATGAAATCTATGTAATTTTTCAATATATATGCGAAACAAATGTAGATTTTATTTTATTGAAATAACAACATAGATGTGAAATGTTGTACCTTGTCTATAGAAAAGACTTCAACGAGTACAATTTTGAGAACGTTAGTTTCTTTCTGTTGACTGCATAAATTTATTTATTGTTTATGCCATAACTTAAACGTAGATTGAATATTGTAATTCTTTAATCTAAATAAAACACGAACGCGATATCTTTAAATTAAACTTGTTTGAAAATTATGCAAAGCATACGAAACGTCGGGCCGTAGTTAAAAAAATTTTCAAACAAGTTTAAAAACTTAAATAAATATCGGGTTTTAAACCCTTTAAGTATTTTAATTTAGAAAGTAAACTACAGAGCAGTATTGAATTCTTTAATCGCTTATACTTTGATTATGACTACGTTAAGGTATGAATTTTCATAATGAATTCGTCAACATTAGGTCTTTTAATTAAAACACTTTAACGGCTTAAAACGCAATATATATTATTCATACTTACATTCTCCACGGCTGCTGCTAAGCATCCGAAACGTTGGGCCACAGTTAAACAATTTTCAAATAATTTTAACTAAAATCGCATTTTAAACCGTTAAAGTCTTGTACTAAAATGTGTACTACTCGCGCAAACTACAGACAGTGTAAAAAAGGGTTATAGCCACTAAAAATATGTAAATATACTGAAATTATCCTATCTATATGTAATTTAAGACGAAATCTAATTAATTTAAATGTCTAGGAATTTGTATGAATCGTTTATTTATAAGCTAAAGTGATCAAGTATAATGGAATGAAACAAAAGAATAGCTTAAATAGCTCGTGGAGCCGGTTCTGGGAGATAAGATCGCGCAGTAAAAAGGTTTTGTTACGACCTAATTAAATGGAGCCTCCAATTCGATATACCTCCTCTGTTTCCTGCGATACTACCTGCCTAGATTTATCTTAAATGAATTCTAAATGAGTTTAAAAATGTAGTTAACAAACATTGTAAATAAGTTAAATAATATATTTCAATTTTTATTTGAAAAGAAGCGTTAGTTAGGGTTCATTTCTAATCCTAGTCATTATTCATAGAACATAGATAGAAGAAGGACTCAAAATAAACACCAAATTTTTAAATATTATATCTCACATTTTTTAAATTCTGCTCTTAATTTTCCGAACGTGTTTATTAAGTGTTAATACAAAAGCTTAATATAATCTGCTGCTGCGAAGCATCCGAAACGTCAGGCCGTAGTTAAAAAAATCAAATATATCGCGTTTTAAACCGTTAGTAGTGTTTTATTTAAAAGAGTTTTATATTTTTATTATAAAGCAACTATTGATATGTACTCTTGTAGTTTAGACGATTAGTTAACATTTAAATAAAACACTTCAACGGATTAAAACGCGATGTTTTTGAAATTTTT